CTGTGCTGTACGACGGTAACCTAATCTTCTCTGCATTAGATCATTTTTTAAACCCCAGCTGTACGTTAATTTGTCAGGTGTGAAATAAAAGCCGTTATTACTCCGCTTCTAAGATTTCCGGCGAAAAGCGAGCTGACCTTTTGTGTAAAATGATTAACGAACTATTATGACGAAAGGATTGCACGATACTGATTCGAAAGGTTACTTCCAAACCGCCGAATAGTATCAGCTTGGTACACACTCTGTTTATATGAGAGCTGTCAAATCGAATCACTATTTAGAAAAATAACTCTGTTAATCGATCGATGAAGCGATCACTGGTTGCTTCATTAGAACTATAAATTTTCCTGAGAGAGGCTGAAAAATGCATCGCGTAATTCTCATTTCCTCCCCCGTGACTGTTTGTTTTCTGCAGAAACTTTAACAGGGTTGTATGTTTTGACAGAAATCGGTTGAAAATTGTCATTTTCCGGTTGCGCGGGGGCTCTTTTCTTATCGTGAAAGAGCTTATTGTTTTGAACTGCAAAACAATGAACAATAGAGTTAACCTCACCTGATCGATAAATTTGCATCACAATAACATTCAAAATATCCGTTCACTGTTTCTTCTTCTCGCAGATAAACCTTGTTTCCTCGACATCAGGGCGACGGAATGAAACAAAAACGAATAATTTCACAAAGAACTCAAATAAAATTTAGCAGATCTTTTGAACCTAATCTCTGAAATGACCTTCACTGAGGATTTATGAGTTGATTTTGCAATAAAAGTCTTGTCTGGGCATATCTTGCGGTTAAGCATTGTGTAAAGGAATGTCATTGAGCGGTCGGCTTTCTTATCGCAAACCATCTGATGCAACGCAAGAAGGTAAATGAAATTTTCACTACGCAAAACACTTCAAAACATCTACGTGCGAGATTATCCGCTTTGCTTCAGTCTTAGCGTTGCTTCCTATTTGCAAACGAGTGTTGCGTCAACCATTTTCGGCCTGCGGAAGGCAAAACAAGATCGCGCCGATTTCACGAAGGAAACCTTTTCAGTTAAAAGTCGTCACGTCCTGGGGGAATCCCCGAACAAAGTTTCCGAATCTAACATTTCAAGGCAATAGAAGAACAATCTTTTCATTCACGAAGCATGTGAGTTTTCAAAACCAGCAGTAGCAAGGATCGAAGCTGTCTTTCAGTCACTTGTTTACGATATAAAACTATTGTACTATTGTTACTTTCCATTACTGGCACCGGTCTTGTTGTACTGCGCCCAGACATGGTTACATCATCGAACGTTCAATCCACAAAGTGAAAAAGAACATTTCGATTTCGATTTTCACATCAGGAGAACACCAAAAGTGGAAAAAAACTGATCGCATGCGAGCTCGGATCTTTAGGATATTGTACGGTCTGGATCTTCGAGCTGCCCTACAAAACATCGAGCAGCTCATGCAATTGAATGAAATTTTTCACACTTACCTCGAATTTTTCGCAAAAGGTGCCAGGAAAAAGCGCAATTGCAAACGATCTGTGAAAATTTCCACGGGAAGTGGGGATTCTGCTGTGTTTCTCGTCCAGATTGCGGGAAAATCAAAACCTTCACTACCGCCAGCCGCGAACGCAGAAAAATCTTTACTACACCGTAACCGACGCCATTGTCCTTTCAATTTTTTTACGCGAGTTGCTATATCAACACCAATTTAACGGATTTGATTGGCTAATGATGACAATCTGCATGACAAAATTAGTTCATTCATAGAGTAATGTCACTCACGTTTACATCACGTGACATGATATGATTACGCGCGCAAAGAGCTTGCCTGGACTTGTCAATATCGGAGGTTTGGAGGCGCCTTGTTCGAAAGCACAAGTGATCCAATGACGAAAGATCAAATTTTGGCCGTGTTTTCTAGGCGATCGTTGTTTGTACATCGAACGTGAAGGTAAGTAACCTTATTTTATCTTAGTCAGGCTCAATTTACCCAAGGTAAGCCTTAACTGTTCGAAGAAAGCTTGTGGCTTGGACGATGACAATTTCCCGCCATTTCAAAACAACATGGCGCCCAACAAAGATCAGAAATAAACATCAAAGATTTAACGGCAATCAGGTGAAATTTTCGATAAAATGTTAATACAATTTCTAGCTTGGATACAGACCAACAATCAAATCATATTCGCGTCTTGAAAATAAGTAACTTTCCTCATCGAGCTTATATAGCCGGTGTTAAGCTTAATATCAATTTCTAAGCTTTATTTGTTTTTTGGTTTCCTGCCTATTTTTCGAAATGTCGTGGAAAATTACTTCCTTGACTTGAAAGCACAACTTACCATCAGATATAAATCTGATCTGTTCTTTTTTATCTAAAGATCGAAAATCGTTATTTGTTTTGCTTGTAAGACATGTATCCAGTGTACAAGTGGCTGGCAGTTTCAGTTACTGGTTTTCACTGTCATGCTATCAAAAATAAACATGCATGGTAACCATTCCGTATATTAAGTCAGGAATCTGAGGTGTGATTGATACTTGACATATAAACAACCTTACCAATTGAGATTTAGGTCTATGCTGTTTTTATTATGTGCATTATTTGGTAAAGTACCTCACCCAAATTTCCAGCCTGTGTCATGGCTGCCCTCCCTGAAAGAAAAATCGTAGAGGGCATCTGTGTGTTGCCGTTGATAATCGTGCCCCTTGCATAAATTATCCAGGCATCAAACGATTACTTCAGTGTCACAGACAGCAAAAGAACTCACTCTCTACATGTGATCTTTGTATGAAGCAGTTCATGACCTTTGAATGTTCACAGGTTAAAATTAGACAACTCACAAAATAATTTGCTGAGCCATGAAATGTTGCCTTGAAATGCTATTTAGCTGATTAATCTGGCATTTCCACTGCAAAATTCTAAATCTCTATCTCAGTCTCAAGGTTAAGAAAATTTCCATTGTGTTCTCTGCAGCCAACGCTTGAGATGTTTGTCAGCGGGACTGATAAAATGCAAAGTGTTGAGTTAAATTTACAAACATACTACACTTCATTAAACTGCGAATGATCGATCAACCAATCAGGTCATTTTCTACACATTCCTGGAAAAGTCAATTACCTTGAACACTATTTAACAACAGTAAAACACAGATGGGCCTGTTTGATTTTTTTTTTTTTCGCTGAGGGTAGCAGTGACACAGACTACCAAATTTACAGAGCTTTGTGTGGAGACACCATGTTGGTGTCTCTTAGAGGGGTACAAACATTGGTGACTCTTAAATAACTGTCAAAAACATCTGTCGTTGAGTTTTGCTATTAAACTTTATTACCTTAGGGCTTCAACACATCGAAATTTATACATGTACTTCATCCAATGAAATGACCGATCAGTTAGCAAAATTTTAAAGACAAGTTGTCTTTTTATTTATACCACAGCCTTCTCGGGCCGCCATTTGACATCAAGAAACGCAAACGCTTGAAAATTCAAAAGTGCTCTATTGCAAAACAATGAGCTCTGTTGAGATAAAACTTTGTAAGTTCTTAGAGAGTATTATATCCGACGAAACTAAAACCTCAGAAGGCTTAAATAATTTTTCTTTTGTAGTATGACAACATCACATGAAAACCAACGAAATGTTATGTTTTGACTCTGATGGGTTTGGCATAGAAGGGTCCTTTCATAGGGCTTGGGGCATGTGCAAGTGGTAACTTTAATTTAATATTAGCGCATTGAATATTTCTATTGTTTATGACATATGAAAGCAAGCCAATGAAATATGCTGGAATCTTTCCATTGAAATATCATATGCAGTGTTGCAAGAGTGAAGAGCTTGCAATTCTCAAATTAAAATGACATTTGTTTGTACTGATAAGTCCCACCGTTTAATTCCATTGTTTATCAGCAACTCAGGTGCAATGATATAACTTATGCATGTATCTAGAATTAATCCTTTGGGCCAACTGATGTATTTGATGTTCAATACTACGTGTAAATTAACTTTTTTGTGTAAATCCATGGACATCTGTGAAATTTGGTTATCAGTCACTCTGCTTACTAAAACTATGGCTAAAACTATGGTCTGTTTTTGCTGAGCGGCATGTACAAATGTACATCCCTTTCAGTAAGAAAGTAAGAAATGTTACTTAATGTTTCTGCCATAGTATACACATGCTACTGAACTGTAAAACTACGCTACTTTGGATGACATGCATCTTCTTCAGCGTAACATAAGACAGTGCAGAAAAAGTCATAAAATAAAAATAAAACAAAAGATGGTCAAGATTTAAGATTTCATGTGACACAAAAAGTTGGGCTTGCCCAAACAAGTTCTGGCAAATTATTCAGTTAGCTGAGTCATATTGTCACAGCGAAATAAGGGCTTTGTTTTCCTAGCTTTCATGGATTAAGCCTCTATCCCCACTATTGTGTTTATGGTATCAATACATTTTTCGCTGATTCATTTCTGTTGATGCATTCTCGCCTGTCTTCCCCAGTGGTTTGATATAAAATTCTCATTGTTTTCACCAAAACCAGATACAGTTAAAAACACTGCCCAAAAATGGTGGCATTTGCAAACAGAGGGCATGGTGTCAGGGTATGGGATAGCTAATGATGCAAGGATTCAACACATCAACTAAAACATAAATATATTAATTAAAAGTGGAAGGGAGCCAAGTAATTGTGGGAGGAACTAAATACACTTTTCCTTGTACAAACACCAAAGTGCAAAGCTTGTGAATTATTTGTTAGATTATTTCTGTAGCCAAACAACATTTTGCTTTATGCATGTACAAAGCATGTAATTGCAAAATGACAAAACAGCACAATGGTTAGCCTTACTAGTGTCCGGATTTATCGTTCCCTCAAATTAATAGTACATAGGTTAACCTAGATATCACTCACGCGACAGTGGTTAGCTCGCCATACTAATTGCAAGTAGTAACCCTTACAGACACAAGTATCCTAACTGACTCTAACACACATAGTGCCTTTTTTTCATTTTGCCATGTTGTGTTTTTATTTCCTCAGAATTTGCACTCAGTATGTCCGGAAACACCTCAGATCAACTGGTAAGGGGTGTTGTTGATGTACATGCAAATTCTCCTTGATGGTCTGTGCACATTCACTATAGTATTAGTTGAGAGAATTATGATTATCTTTAACCCTTTTGGCCCTGACGTCAACATAGAAATTCTTCTTAAAGGGCCTTAGTCAGCCACACCTTTGTTTTTGTTTACATGCGAGAGTTTGGCTGTGAAATTTTATTTGGAGCATGGTGAAATAAAGGAAATCACTGTGAAACTACTTAAGATAATTAAACATACTTTCAGGAACACAACTTACAGTAAAATACTAAGATTTCGTTTCACCATGCAATATCAATGATTTTGATGGCAACAGAAATGGGGGAGGCTGACCACAGGGTCCTTAAATGTTTCATACATCCCTCCAAGTACCAGTTTGGACAAGTTATTTTAGGATTATAGATGTTTAGTTGCCAGGGCATGAAAAATTTTCATGAGATATTCCCATGATAATTTGTTAGCAACGTGCTCTGTGAGGTCTTTAAAGTTCTTCCTACGATAATAATGAATAGTTTTGAAAGCAAAAGAAATTCAAAAGTGTTCAAAAATAATAATATGGCACTGGCTGGGTGCAAATAAAATCGGTAAAAGTAAAATCATTTTCACTAGCCCAAGAAAGTTTTCTCGATAGCACAGTTAATAATATAATTTAAGAAGTATAAAATTAAAATGATAATAATACACTTGTAATGTAATATTTGATCTGTTACAGTACGTCTACCACTGAATTTTCCAACTTTTGTCCTATAAAACTTGACTTGTGTTTGCACTATGTACAGTAAAAACGTGCGTGTAAACCCATACATTTCTTGTCTAGCAAAATAAGTTTTGTATTTTGAGATAATTATTGGCAATTGAGGTGAAGTAGGAGAACTCTTTTTAGGTTTTTAATTTCTATCAAGGAGATATAGTTGTTGACTACTAGAAAAATGAATAAACTTGGGTTTGGTCCTTAAGTATATACAGTACTTTTTCACAATTCTATCATGATAAGTGTAACATTGCTCTGATGTCTTTATATGCTACATGTAATGATAGAAATTTAATTTGCACAAAATAGTAAATCACAGTTTTTTATGTTGTAAACATGATTTACCCTCAGCAATAACACTTACCTGGTGCCACTTTAAGCATCTTAGCCAGTCAGTATGTGAAGAATTCAAACTGTATCATGTAACAGCTCTCAAAGGGATCCAATTTTCTTCAACACTAAAATGGTCTGCCCAGTTAGTCAGCACTTTTATAGCTGTATTATTTTATTTTAAACAAATGACTAATGACATTTGCTCTGGCAATTTTGGTCTCTGTTCTCACATGTCTACGAAATAAACTCAGTATCTATAATATCTACTTATTAAGGTATCAAAGATCTGAGATTTTATAGCTATTTTTGGAAAATGATGAACTGGAATATTCAATAGACAAATTCCCCTTTGAAGAGGTTTGAATTCACCATGTAAGAAGTAATTATATTAATTACACATATTTTATGTACTGTTTTTTCAAAGACTGTTAAAGATGCACGGCGTTCCTTACGTTTTGATGTTAGCACTTCTTTGGAAGATCAAGATACCACCAAAGGTATTGAAGAATGTGCACAGATCTCTGTTGAACGTATTCCAGCTGAGGCACAGTTGAGGAATGATTGTGAAAACCTTTGGCAAGAGTTGAACAGTGTAAGTTCAGCAAGAACCGGGCAATGGTGTTGTATTTCATATTCATCTCTTTTGCATCTGTGTTGTATTTTCATTTGTGAAATATTTAAACTAAATATTTTTGAGGCAACAATACTACATTGCTTTCTTGTGAATTAAGCTTGATTAAAATGTTCAAAGATTAAAGTGTGCGAAGAATAAAATAATGTAAGTATCTGGTTAACAAACAGAGAATAAATCAAATTGAACTGAAATAATCTGTGATGCACGTATCCCAAAACACGATACAGTTTGTACCAAAATTGCACATTAATCATCGGATTTTTTTTTTTTTTTCATTTTTTGATACGTATTCAGCAGCTGGCAATCACATGGTCGCTTGTCAAACAAATTGGTACTAGTGCATTACCAAAAATAAAACTATATGTGCAGGCATTTTTTGAGGGCAGTGAAAATTTTCAAAATAATATTTTTATTGTGACCAGAAAAATGCTGCAGCTACAGTCTATGTATGATTTGAAAGTGAATTTTAAAAGTGCTTACCATCTAAGCAAGCCACCCTTTCTTTACCCCAAAGAAGTCACGAAACATTTGGGCGAGTGCTTAGAATTATTTTATCTATGTTTTGTGCTCTGTTTCATTGCAGACCCACACTCGTCTCGATGCTGGCTCTACAAATAATAATACGTCTCGTTTGGATGAAGAAGAGTTTGATGCTTCAAGGGTGAGTCATTTTAACAAACAGTTAATTAAAAATGATTTTTTTTCGGTGTAATTAATTATTAATTATCACTTAGATGTACACAAATGTACAGTTGCGTTGTTTTACTCCAATATCAAGCTGGATGTGCAGGAACATCAAAGTAAACTCAGCCTTTTCAGTTATTTTTGAAGTAGTGACTCTATACTAAAAATTAATGACATGTAGGATACCCCTGCGGCTCTTTTTTATCCTTTTAATTTTTTTTTTTTCACGACTGACAGAAATGGTGAACTTCAGTCATACATGTAGTAACCTGACCCCCATGAATGTTCTCAGTCTCGATTTGCATTTAATTACCTCTTTAATTTGTTTTGTTAAAACTTTAAAATCTAAAATGCAGTGTTAGCATTACCTATCTAAAAAGGTTATTCAGTAACAAATTTAACACAATAAATTGGATATTTACCTTCTGTGTTACATATTTGTTCAAATATCTCACGCCCCTATATGCTGCGTGCTGCTTGGTGTTAAACCTCTCCTTGTGAATTACCCATTTCTAATCTCAGATCTGAAATGCAGTGTTAACCTTTTCCCATCTAAAAGGTTAAGTAAATAATAAGAAAAGCAAGTAAGTATTTTTACCTTCTGTATTACAGATTTGTTCAAATGCATGTATCTCACGTCTGCATATGCTATGTGCCATTCTGTGTCAAGCCTCTCACTGCGGACTACCAATTTCTGTCAAAAACTTAATAGTGTGGTCCCTGCATGTAAAATAACTAAGTACATGTGACGATCATAGAGTAGATCACAGGATCCTTGAAACCAGACCTAGAAGGGATTTATCTCAGTCTGAGATATTGCACTTGAGAAAGATTCACTTTTTATGTCTGGCCAGTTAGGTTTAATAAATCTCCGAGAATTGTACCCTCGTGTGGGTGACCTTAAGGAAGTTCATGCTAATTGTTTAAACATGTGCTTTCTCACTACTAGAATACATAAATCCACAAGCCACGTCAAGCATTGAACACATTTCATTATGAACTGAACGATAGTGCTAGTAGCCACTGCTACAACTTTGTGTGGATTTAGCCATCTTGGAGATTTGGCGACCACTTTTTTAATAAGTCTCTGAGAAGTGTTCCCTCAAGGGGTGTTGACCTTGAGGAAGTTTGTGCTAATTGCTTGGCAATATGCATCCAAATTACTACATGTTCCATGCACCACGTCAAGCATCAAACACATAACATTTTGAAATGAGCAACAATAGTGCAACAACTTGTATTGGCCGCTGCTAAACCTTTACGTGCATTTAACCATGTTGGATATTTGGTGACCACTGTTTAATAAGTCTCTGTGAACTGTTCCCTCGGGTTTGTTGACCTTCAGGAAGTTTGTGTTAATTGTTTGTGCATGTGTGCCCTTATTGTAGACGGACACAATCCACATGCCACACCAAGATTCATACTCATTAAGTTCTGAATCGAACAATAATAGTGCTATGCCTAGCGACACAGTGGCCGCTGCTACTAACACATGTATGTGTGAATTCAGGGGTCTTATTAAGGGCTAGGTACCGGGCAAATTGACTGGCTGTGAACAGAACTTTGCCCAGCTGCTTCATCAATATTTTATATGGTACTCGCTTTTTGTTAAAGTTGAGCTTACATGTATTTGCTTGTTATAGTATGCATTATTTCCCTTGTATTGGATTTTCTGCCCGGATGTTATATCCTGATGCCCTCCTGTTAAAAATCTTGTTTAAACCCCTGTGGATTTAGCCATCTTCGACCATTTGGTGACCCTTACATGTATCTTTCTTTTGAAAGATCAAAACTGAGAAAAAGCTCTATATTAGAAGTCTGAAACTTTTGCTCCTGCAACATCTGCTTGACCTGTAGATCTTTTGGGCTCTTCAATTAGCTCTACAATAAATTATTGTAGTTTTAAATGATCTTTAAGGGTTAAATTTTGAAACAAAGTATAACAACATTTGAAATTATTGAGACAACAGGCCCACTGAATGTGACAAGATTAAGGTTACCTCAGATATTTTTAACCAAAAACCCTGGGCCCGGTTGTTCAAAACGGTGATTAAACTAACCTCCAATTAAACCTAATTGTCAATCAAATTTCCTAATCATGGGTTTGCTAATCTGGGGTTAGAAAACAGTTTGTTGAAAAGGAGATTAATTGGCCGATTAACTAATCCGTGATTAAGCATAAAGTGGATTATTTTAATTGATTACAATGTATTCTTACGCTATTTCACATCATAGAATTGCACGAAACTTTTGTTTTCAAATGGTTTCCCAGATGAATAAACTGCCCATAAAACTGTGGCCTTGTTTACTCAAACTGTATCACCGATAACTTGAAAAAAGTTGCCACTAGCATAAAATCTTAGTGCTAGCAGCACTTTGGTGTATTGGTTGAAGAGCATGGCCATGCTTCGTTTTTCTCAATCCGCCTCTATGAAGTTTGTGATGTATTCAATGGACACTCCCCCAAATCTCTAACGAGTCTGAAGCTTTTTGCTCTCTATAAGCGAGTATGTTATGATTATATCGATAACATTTGTCCAACGCGAGGGAGATGAAACAACAAGCCGGACATTTTTCTTCAAGTTTAATCGGCAGATTAGGGAGTTTATCCTCCTATGGAGGTATATTAAATTTAACCTGCTGATTAGAGTTTGTTTAGCACCAATTGGGCTCTGAACAACGAAAATCTAATAATTGTAGATTAAATTTTAATCGTCGGTCAAGCAATTTAATCCCCAATTAGCGCTAATCGCAGTTTTGAAGAACTGGGCCCTGGAGAGCAAATCAGGACATTTTTTCCACTGGCCTTATCTCTGAAATAAAGTTGGGAACCCCATATTTTTTATTGCATCTGTGACATTTAAGGAACTCAATATCTTGACAATGTATAAGTTAGGAAAAAAAAATATTCAAATATTTTAGTGCCAACATCCTTTTAATGGTGGTAAATGTGTATTAAAATACACATCTATGTGCACTGTGTAAGTCAAGGTCATAGAGACATGTACAGTTAAGCTCCATCAGTGGTTTGATTCTTTGATACATCTGTACAGGTCCTTGAACGAGTCTTAAAAGTGAAAGAGAAAAAACTTCAAACAGAACTTTTAGCATTGGAAAACCAAGGACTTCAGGGTGGGTTGACACACTTATTTTATAGTACCAAGTGTCTTAATGACTGGTAGTTGGTCAAGGTTTTAAAAAGACAAAATGTCTGGTAGTCCAGACTTTTTTTAATAGGTTAGGCTGAGTTACTGTACACCCTGTTTATAGCCTAAATAGCACTCCGGTTAGCCTGTCTGTGAATAGCATTGCGTTCAGCCTGTATATAACTCCGGTTAACCTGTTTGCAGTTAGCATTCAAAAAATAACAATGACAGTAACATGATATACATATGTCTTGTTACCAGCAGGCTACTGGTGAATACAGGTAAATTTAAAAAAAGGATAATGCTTTTCAATTTTAAATACATGTTTCAACAGTAACTTCTGTCATCATTTATTACAACTAGAGTTTCCCTTATTGTATTTTATTTATGTTAAGTAAGTTATTCTACTAGGTAACAGCTATTCTTTAGAACTTGAATGTATATTAACTCATTCAACGATATTCAAATTCACTCTAAGTTGTAACTGATGATGACAGAAGTTACTGTCAAAATACGTATTTAACACCAAGAAGTGTTGTAACTTTTTGTAACAAATTTATACACGTACTTGTGAATGATCATAATTAATTATGCAAGGTTGATGTAAGGATAGTTTGTATTGGGATCCAAAGTCCATGGTAAGGCCCTGAGACACAGTAGGGATCTTCATCTCCCGAGAACCAAAACGGTTATGGGCCAAGCCAAATTCTAATACTCTGCTAGAAAGAAATGGAACAATCTCCCTAAACAACTCCACCCCTGCAATACCCTGAGAACTTTTAAAACTAAAACTTTTAAATTCTCAATTGACTTTGATAAGACACAACAAAAATGCAGTGTGTAGGTATTCCTCTTATTTCAACGTTGTATTTGATTTTTATTTTGTATAATGATCTAACCAGCATCATGTATCTTTTATTTACTGATCACTTGTTTATGCCAGCATTTACTGATATGGATCTGCTGATCGGTTTTGTCATGTTAAATTATTTTATTATTTTTATTTGCTTTAAATATTCTGCAAAGTTGTAGCCGGCCTCTGTGGCTCAGTGGTGACCCAGGTTCAACCTTACATGTACTTGTGGGCTCATAATTGTAATGTTCTTTTACATTGTGTTAAGTCTGACTGCCAGTCATTTATTCTATTATTTTAAAACTTTCACCATCTGCTGTTCTTATGGCCACAGGGTATTTTAAGATGCATACAGCTGCCTTAACTTGCCCTTACACGTAGTTGCCCAACTGAGATTGTCACCTACTGAGCGATAAAAAGTGTATTTACATGTAATGAATACGTACGTGCAAGCCCTGAAGGCTTATACACAGTGGTAGGCTGGGACCTGTTTATACATGCATGCGCGAGGAGTAATAAAACCCTTTTCATTCCATTTTTAGATCATGACCCTGTATATAGGAATAGTGTGGTCAATATGTCAGTCATTTAACTCACCAGGGGTATCTAATCGATGATCAATGACATCAATGAATAATCAATGAGCAGTCGATGGGTAATCAACCGATTATTCATTGATTATTGGCTTTGATCAATGAGTAATCGATGGGTAATCGAAACCCAATAATTTTGTGGCCTATTGATTACTCATCAATGGCATTGATGACATTGATTAGCCATTGATATTATTAATTACTCTTTGATGACCTATTGATTACTCATCGATTACCCATTGATTACACATCAACTATCATCCTGCTCTAATATTACAAATTTCTTGCTTTTTTGGACCGATACCGATATTTTGGTTATTCTTTTATCTGTGTTTTTAAGTGTTGGGCTTTTTTCACAGGCGTTCCTGTTTATGTATAGTGTAATTACACCTACGCTAAAGGCCAAACAATGTATCAGCATGTCGAGACATGTAGATCAGTAACCGTAAATACAGATTTGTAAAATTTCACTTTATTTATTAATTAACAAAATAGCTGAACAGTAACCAGTCTGAAAGTGACACTAATAAGCACAGGAATCGACTATGTGATTATATATTTTTTACAGCGAACGTTTGTCAAGAAAATAAAACTGCTTTGTCTTAGTGAAGAACCATCATAATCAAATACATAAAGGTGGACGGGTATATTTGCAGGCTATGTCACTTTCCTTGCTTTGTTCATGTCTTTGTTCACGGCCCTTCAGGCATTGTTTAAAGAAAGTCAAGGGGTGATGGAAGAATTTGCTAAGCTAATCAACCTTGATGTGGCAACTGTGAAGGTTTGGTTCAACAACAAATGGCAATGGGCCAGAGATAATGATGGAGATGCAAGCAACATGTCTTCCGGTGCTTCGAATGTATAAGTACCAAACGTGAGAAAGAATAAGTAAATAAATAAATAAATAAATAAATTAATAAATAAATAAATAAAAAATATGTTTTAATTGATTCAGTTGTTGTTATTTTGTTTATATTCGTTAATTACTCTTATGATTATATCAATGAGTAAATGAAATCATTGACTAATCAATGCAATCAATGACTAATCGATGCAATCAATGACTAATCAATGACTAAAGATTTTGTGGCCTATCAATTACTCATCAATTACTCATTGATCATCGGCAAAAATCAATGACTAATCAACTGATTACCCATCAATTGCCTACTGATTACTCATTGATGTCATGGATGTCATCGATTAGATACCCTTGGTACTCAGTTATTGTGACTGTCAGTTCCCAATGGACATTGGAGTGTGTTTTGTGACTGTCTCAACCATGCGCAAACTCTGTGTTTTCATCTGTTATTTGACAATACACCAAGCTGTGTCCATTTTGGTCACCATGACAACTAAATTTTATGAACAGGTCGCTAATTTGGTCTACTAGAGCAGTACTTTGTACAAAAGGATAACTGCTCAACAACAAAGATTTTTGTGGAACAATTACCAAGCCAAACAAATTTATCTGTTTCTTTTTTGAAATGTTTTATTTACTTTGATAAACAGTAGTTAAGACTGTTCAACAAAATCCATGCTTTCAACTCATTGTTTTGCTCATCTTGCAGTCAGAAGTTTTGTAATTGTTTTTGACTGGAAATTATCACTAACAAGACTACTGAGGCTAATTTCACTTTCTCACTGGATCATTGATCTTCCATTTTCACTTGCCCAAGAGTAAAACTTACTTGCCCTGGGCAATCGGACCTGGGTTTTTCCTACGCCGCTGTGGCGACCATTTTACAGAAGGAGGTCATCAAAAGGCGAGAACCCAGAGCTTGGAGCGCTGTGTGAGTGCTACTGATACATGTACAGTCAAATCCGGCTGCTATTTCGAACTTTAAGGGGAAATGGAAGGAAAAAAACTGATAGTAAATGACTGAAGGGTAAANAGAGCTTGGAGCGCTGTGTGAGTGCTACTGATACATGTACAGTCAAATCCGGCTGCTATTTCGAACTTTAAGGGGAAATGGAAGGAAAAAAACTGATAGTAAATGACTGAAGGGTAAATCCAAGGAAATGGTTTTGAGTTTGAAGTAACAGGTAGTTTGAAATAACCAAGTGCGAATTTGCAGAGTCTGACTGTAGGACTGCCTCCATCAACTTACCTGATTTGGTTTTTAGTATTATATAGTGCATTAAAAGAAAAGAATTGTTAGAAAACTTTTCTTAACTTGTTGTGCAATTTGTTTTTCATTACCAGTGACATCAACCAATCCTGAATACACCAAAACCCACCTGAAAAGCCAGGTAACATTTTTTAACATAGTGTTATTGCTGACTTTAATAGCTTAAACTGATGAATTCAGCTTGTTGTACAATCTTTGTTGATACTTTCCAGTTTCCGTTATTTGTTAAATTTTAACATTTTTTCAATGTACAGCATTTTTAAGCAGTACTTGACTGCATTATGAAGGCAGTCCTGAAAAAAAATTGAAATCTACTAGCTCATTGTGCCAGTGAATTTCATTTTCTCCTTTCCAATAATGAGGTTTTTGTGGTGGACATACATGTAACATAACCAATCAAAGCCAATTATGCAGCTTGAAATTACTTCAACAACATTCTTGCACCATCAGCATGATAAAATGCAGGAATAATTAAAAATGTTTTTTGTTGTCATGTTACCTTGTCAAATGTAGCTGCTGACCAGTGTTAGACAGTTGGAGGAGACACTGAGTGTTGTCAAAGGGCAGCGTAAAGAAGTGGAAGATGAACTAAGAAGGTAAGAAATTTATAAATTTTTTGCAATATATAATTTAATATATGACATGCAATATACAGTTGATTACTTAAAATGAACATGTAGCTTGATCACTAAGGGAGATTTTCTTTTAAAAAATTATTATTGCTTGGTGCAGATGTAAAAGGTCTTTTTGACAGGTTATACTGAACTGCTATGGTAATCTGATGTTTCAAGGAAAATGACCACAGTGTGCTCCCAGCAAGTCTACAGTAAGTGCTGGAAAGTGCTGGAAACTGTTGCCAGCCACCTTAAATAGAATGTTCTTTTGACACACAGGGAAGAAGAGATTGTCAAGCAACACAGGGAAGTCAGCAATGCTCTTCGGATAAAAATTGATAGCCTAGAGCAAGAGAAAGAAAATGTGAAAGAAGTAACAAGGTAAAGAGTTTAGAGATTCTGGACTTAATGTAAAAAGTGTGTGTAGTTTGCTGATGACAAGTATATGTTTTTAGTGTTTAGAGAGAAAAGCTACATCAGAAATACACCTGTAGCTAGGCATTAGATTCTAGATTGAGAGGTCCGGGTTCGAGCCCTGGCCGGAGTCATTTGCTTTGTGTTCTTAGGCAACACACTTTACTCTGACAGTGCCTTGCTCCATCCAGGGGAGAGCAGAAATACTCCTACATAGAGTTGGAAGCTACAGAAACCAGAAGAAACTTGGGCTGTATGGGCTGCTGGTCTGACACAGACTTAGTGTTGTACCAAGACTGAATTAGAACTCAGAAGCAGTGGTCTTTAGGGAGGAAGCCTCTGGGGAAAGAAACTGTGAAGGAAGACAAAATAATTATTACAAGAAACCCAGCCTCCAAATAATTCATTTAGATAAGTACAGGTATACTCTGCTATATGCACATTCAGAGAAGAACTAGCCTGCCAATTGCAACACAGACAGATTTCTAGATTCGTTTCATAGCAACATGAAACAAAAGCCAGAAGTCTGTCTGCGTCCACAGGCTAGAATTGAACAGGTATTCATACTTGAATTAACTCTCTTTCAGTCAGATAAAGGATCTTGAAAGACAAAAGAAAGCTGCAGATGTTTATCTCATCCAGACAATGAAGAAACTGGTCGGTATTATTATTTTGTGTATTGCTTTTCAGTCAGTTTGTCTGTCTGTGTGGTTAAGTTTATTTACTGTCTTGTCCCAGGAAATATCCATACCCCTCCATTCCTGGACATTTTTGGGGGCTTGAACCCCACCCAGAAATTCCAGGTTTGATTCATACTTTCCTATAAATAGTTTTGGCTCTCGAGACCCCCTCCCCCTTGAAATTTCCAATAACCCTCCTTGGGGTCATCTGTCCTTTATATGCCAAGTGGGTCATAGGGCATAAACAAGCACCTTTGGGAGGGTATGGATATTTTCTGGAATCACACATTGATAACTGAATATTGCTTTAACATTATTTTTAGGGCTCCTTCTTGTCCTCAAACTTTCCTCTCCCATCAGCTGCTGACATGAAAGGAAACAAGGTAAGTTTTCTTGGCAGTTTTTAAAATTGACAACCAATCTAGCCATACCTACACATACGAAAGGGAAACTGAACTGCATCAAATTAGGAACTGCACCCAAATCTTGAACGTAAAATGGTTTATAATATTGCATTTCTCCATAATAGCTTTTCTCCATACCCATTTCTTTTAGAATCTAGCAAGAGCACCTTTAAATCCAGACATCAGGTACATTTCACTACAACAGCTGACAGAGGCAAGTACTTCATGTTGAATTATCCAAGTTATGCATGCATCCTATGTCAGGACACTGGTACATTGTCTACCCATTTGACCAGATTTTCTGTTTCCTCCCCTGTATCAGATGCATTGCACTGAATTCCATGATCTACAAAATCAACCCAGGTTAAATTAAGCCCATTCAAATGATTTGTGAACTTCAAGCACAAAGATGAAAGAAGCTTCACCTTTGCTTGCACTGTTGTTGTAGTTAGGATCACGTAGAACTCATTGCCATGCCAAATAACAAACTGCCTGAGTGCAAAAACAACTGGGCCTGTTTTGAGAACTTGAAATTGCCAACGAAGAGCAGGCAAGCAATATTGTTTGTGATACATTTACGGTACCATAAACTGAGGTTTATAATCCCCGGACTTATTCAACTTTGTAAGGGCTTTAGAAGGCCTTATAAACGGAGGGGCTTATATCTGAGGGGACTAAAATCTGGAATAAAATAATTTTCAAAATGAGCTATAGCTGTGTTGACTGAAAAAGTTTTTTCATTTACTGGTTTTAATTAAGCTTTTAAACATCATAATTATGTAATAAAACAAACTCAAAACAAGGAAACCTAGAGGGGGCTTATAACCAGATTTATTTTATGGCCAGCTCCATGAGCAGGCAAGATGGAGCTATCTTGCCCGCTCAGGACCACCTGCTGTGTCCTGGAAGAAAAGATTTCCCCGAAAGCCATATAATAAATCCTTTAATGACCAAACTTATTCGGTCAAGATCGCTGGATATTGGCCTCATTCTTTTTTTGTGAGTTTATGGACCTTGACTCTGTCTTGGTCCATAAACACGCGAGAAAAGAACTTGGCCAATATCCAGCCATCTTGATCTCACACTTGGTCAATAACCCAGATGTATTTTTTGGTTTACAGTTAGACAGGCCTATAACCAGGGTAGTCAAGGTTATAAGAGTGGGGGCTTATAAGTGGCAGTTTACAGTATCTTTGTTATTGTTTGAAACAAGAGTGAGGACAGTGAGAAATAGTATGTCATAAATGTTGCCTGAAAATTTGGGCCATCTTCCAATCTTTGCAAAAGTTTGTGCAAAGTTTGCGATATGTTTGGTAATGTACTGGTGATATTTCTAGTTTTCTGTACCAATTTTGTTCCTGATTTAAAGCATTAACTTCCAAGCATTTTTCTATGTTCTTCCCAAACAGTGCTTATAACAGTTGTCACCCCAACCCTCAAGCCCATCCCTGCTACCCAACATTTGTTTTTTCTGATACCAACTTCAATTTTCTACCTCTGCAGAGGAAGAAAATACTACACGTGGTCAGAATATTTGGACATACTCTCAAGATTAATGTCGTGTAGCTCTCCCTTTGCCTCTTTTAGAATAATATTTCTGTCTTAACAGGACCTGATGAACATGTCATACAGTAGACCACATGACCCATACTTAAGAATTAAGGATGCTCACTGGCCACCATACATTGAGCTGTTACTAAGGTGTGGCATAGCACAGCGACATCCTCAAGACTGCAATCTTATCAGACTTGTTGCTTTCAACCGATAGTCTGCTGACTGCCAGTGCCACTCAGGAGAAAAAAATCTCTCAGTTTGCGAGAGACAAAAGGCTTGCAGTTGCTCTGCAAGCTTTCAGTCAGTCTTGATGTGAGCGTGTCTCAAACCTCTTGATGCCTGCCGCAGCTTCTTGATACAAAAGAAAAAGCCATGCTGCAGAGACAAACTGTGGTATCTGAGACAAGTTGTTTCCTATTGGCAATCAGCTGCTCTCATTTTATGCCTTTTAACTACAGCTACACTTGTAGGGACAAGATCTCCACAGGTTTACGCCTAAAAATTCTAAACATTTTAACAGTTTTG